CGTTGCAGGCGGCGGCGGCGCCCCGGATGCCCGCGGCGGGCAGAAGATGTGTCATGGCAAGCAGGCGAGCGGCGGCGGTGCCCTCCCGGCGGCGAGGCGGCGGGCGCTGGCCGCTGCGCTCTGGCTGCGGCTGGCGCTGAGCCTCGGCCCGGGGCCGGCGGCGGGCGGTGAGTGAACGGCGGCGGCGGCCCCCGCTCTGCCCGGCAGCCGGGCTGAGCCGACCCCTGCCCCGCGAAGGCTCCCCTAGTCCCGGCACCGGAGAGGGGGGGAGGGAGCGAGGAGCGGGGAAACTTCCTCCCCGTGCGGCCCCGAGGGGAGTGGAGCGGGGAATCCCCCTTTCGGGTCGCCCCGCGTGCGCCCCCCGGGAGAAGGCAGCCTCAGCCGGGTCCCTGCTGGGGAGCGGAGCCCCGCGTGGGTACGGCGCGATTCCGTTATTATTTTAGCACGATTATTTTAAATAGCCTTCCCTCAGCCCGGTGCCGCTCGGACATCCTCTGATCACTCTCACTGCCGGTCCCCGAGCGGAAACGCGGGGTGGGAGAAGGTGATTTGGGTCTAAAAAGGAACGCTTGGAACGTCCTTCAGCGCTCTCCTCCTGGAGGAAGGACCGAGTCGTAGTTGGCCTTTTTCATTTTAATTATATTTTTACGCAATCGTTTCAAACTATTGAGCCTCTGAGATATTTTGAGCAGGTACATTTAATTACAAAATTGCTTGAAACCGATTCTGTAATTAGACTTGGACTGTGGGAAAAGTGTTAAAGTAAACTGCTTCGCTGCAGAACGAACTTAGCTGTGATAAAGAGAGCAGCTTCCCATTTCCACTCCGGCATGGTGATATATTTTTGTACTGGGGGAACAAGGCAGCTCGTGATTGAATCACATCGCTAATGGCAGGCACAGTTTGATACAAAAATTGCACGGGCTTCTTCTCGTGCCAGAGAGTCGTGCCAAAATGTTTGGAATACCTAAGTCCCAGCAGCTCCGATCCTGAAGCATTTTCTGCCTCTGACCATAGAATTGCTGAAATATGTCTGATGAGGACCTGGAGAGGTCGCCCTGTCCATCCTCCTTCTGATGTGATTTGGTTGTAATTTTCTCTCAGGACTGTAATGCCATTTCCAATAGAAATCCCATGACTGCAAATGCGATTCCAGCTAAACAAGCCTTTAAACTGTTGCAGTCTCCGAGAACCCCTCTTTAGAAATCAGTAGCATTTTTTGCTCCTGTATTTCCCATGGTTTCCTGGCCAGCTCGCCTTCCAGTGTGGTGATGCCACTCTTGTGCATCCCTCGCAATTGCAGTTGGTTGAGCTCCTGTCATTCCCTGACTTCCTTTTTATGGCTCCATTCATAAAACAGGGTGGCCCAAGGATCCCCTTCTCCCCAGAGCTGTGTGCATACTGCAGTTCGCTTGTCAGCATTTAGTTGGCTGAGCAGCACAAGAGGTTCCTCAAGATGCAGTTTATGTCTCCCTTGGATGTGGTAGTTTTCATCACAGCCTGCTATAAATTCTTCCGTGATGCTGATTGTTATTAACACTGCTGCCGTTCACCTTGGCAATGTGGCTGATTCTGTATCAAATTGCATTTGTAAGGTGTTTTAGGATCTTTCAAGACTGAAATCTTGCCCAGAGTCTAGGGAAAGGTTATACACTAAATGCTTGTGCATGGCTAAAATAACCACTTGGAAAGATTCATTGCTCTTCCTGAGTTATTACTGCTGTTATTTTCTGCAGGGTTGTACTGGGAAGTTATGCGCTATATAAATACCTGTAAGTACACAGATCTTTCATGTGATAGAATATATGATCGTTCAGGGTGTTTTTTCACCCTGAATCATCTGAGTGGTAAAATAATGGCTTTTGTAATTAGAACAGAGAGCTGCACATTAGGATTCTTCTTATTTTATGCCCTGTTGTACCTGTGAGCAAGCTCGCTTTGCTCGCATGGCTCCCTGGCTCAGCTCTGGCTCCTCAGCCTGTGACCCAGAGTTTGAGAACTTCCAAGCACTCACTGTCACCAACCAAAGCTGTGGCTTCCTTGGACCTTTGCCTCTGTTGTTTTTTCAGGACTTGTGTTCTGTGGGCTTGTGTATGCAGATACAAGCCGCACGGCACTATTGACTGCTTTGGAAAATGTGGCCCCAGTCTCTTTATATCTTCCCGTTATCTGTTAAATAAGGATAATCATACTTCTTGCAGAGATTTGAAAAGAGCTTCGATGACATTTAATGAAAATACTATGGAGGTGGAAAAAATTTGTTTCAAAAGCTTTAGAAAAACAGCACTGGCAATATGCTAAAATAAAAAGCATCTTGCATATTAATAACAAAAATGAATGGTGTAGCTTTTTTCTATAAATCCATCCACTGCTTACATTCGGATCCCAGTTATAGCTTCCTCCTGTCTTTGTCTGATTGGAGAATTTGGCTCCTGTAACAACTGTCATGACTTGCATGACTCCGTCTATTTTCTGTCTGACTAAGCCCTATTGATTGTCGCGTTCTACCATTTCACCCCAAATCAATACTACTTATGACTCTTCTTTTTCTTGTCAATAACCCTACAGAGAATAACTCTGTTTATTACATTCTGACTTTCTCCAAGAGGATCTAGCAGAAAATTTGCTATAGAAGTGAACTCAGATGAACAAACCTTTCATATGTCAATATGCCTGATTCCTCCCAGACGTATTTAAGTTTGCTGACACTGAGGATAAAGTAAATCTCTCATACTCTAGCTTGTGGCTTTCATCTCATCATCTTTGTTTATCTTGCTTTTTTGCCGTAATTCTGTAGTGAAGGAAAAAAGAAAGAAAAGAAGAAAGTGGGAACAGACTGGAAGGGCTATTAATGGTAGGCTTTATTTTCCTAAATCGGTGTTGTCCTGCAGCACTGATCTCCTGCAGGGCCCATGGGGAGGATCAGGGCTGCATCACCCAAGGGGGTTGCATCTCTGTAGGCATGGAGCAGGCCTTGGGCTGTCACCAGGCTTCATCCCAAGGCATGATAGTGCCCTTCTGGGCAGATGCTTGTTTGATCTCATTCTTAAAACATCTGCGCCTGTCTTTGAAGCAGTCTCCAGCGTACGCTTGCTATCATTATGAACAAATTAGGAATAAATTCTTAATTCAGAGGTTGGTGAGGCATCGGCACTGCTGCCCAGAGAAGCTGTAGTGCCCCATCCCTGGAGGAGCTCCAGGCCAGGTTGGATGGCCCTGGGCAGCCTGAGCAGGAGAGGGGCAGCCCTGCCCACAGCTGGGTGTTGGGGCTGGGTAATCTGCTGCTTTTTGGGTGTTGTAATCCAGTTGTTGAGTTCCCCTGGGTGTGTGCTCTGCAGGCAGCATCACTTCACATCAGTGGGTGCTTTTAAGATGGGAGGCACACACCATCGTGCAGAGTGGCAAACAAAGCCAAAGTGTTGTGTAGCCTTTAAAGATTACAATGAATAGCGGCGATACAATACAAAGTAGTTTTTTTTCCACAGACTAAAGCTGAGTTTTTATAGCTTTGTGGTTTTCATGCATTGCATTGGAGTCTTGGTTCTGCTTGCCTTTGGATGCTGTGGCTACCGAAACCAGATCTGTTGGCTTTCTAAGAGTGGTAGACTTACTTCCTTGGAATAAGACAAATTTTTTTTGTGTGGTAGTGATGCAGACCCACACTAGAGCTTACTTTTTGCTTACCTGCAGTTGCTTTCAGCAAGAGAAAACAGCCAAACATTCCCCGTTTCTGCTTTACATAAACTTTTGGCATTATGTATAAAAACTGTGTTCTGAAAAGCCAGAATGCTTCCTGATAAACTCTCTAGGTCTGTAGTTAATATATTTTACTCACTCTCTTTCAGTGTCTGCATCACTTGTCAAGCAAAACAGTCATTTTAGCCTAGAATTGTCTGCACATTTTGCAAAATCGTCAGATAGGTTGCAGCATTGGTCTTAACCTCCAGCTCACTGGAAGATCTGGATATTTTGCAAGGAACAGATTTCTCACGTCCTTGTGCAATATTATTTCTGGACCTGTACCTGCCCCATGCAGCTCCCCTTCTTTTCTTTAGGCTGAAGTTGACATTTCAGTTCCATTTTGTGTCCGTTTTGTATCCAAGTGGCAAGGTCAGCAACATCTGAGGACGAGAGATCATCATCTGTCGTAGTGGCACATCTTCCCACCTGCAGCCGTGCAAGATGTGCACCCTGCAATATGGAGGTATGGCCCTGATTTACCATGGGATATGGGGGCTGAGGTTAGCTTCTCCATCTGCTTTCTTGTTTCCGGAATCACAAGAATCTGTATCATGATCTCTGTATTATGGATGATTATAGATTTAGAAAAATTACTTATTTATCTTAGTTTGATTTTTCTCATCCATAAAGTAGATAAGTGATTTACTTCACAGACATGTTATGTGACGGTTGATGAACCTGTGACAGGAGTGAGAAATATGAATTTTGACAAAGTATAAGTTTACCACAGTGAATGGTTCTTTAACACTTTTTACTTTTTTTTTTTTTTTTTTTTTTAGTGTTGATTATTAATTAAACAGTCTTACAAATATATGAAGATTAGGAAGAAGTTATCTTTCTTTGTTGTTGTCATATAGGGCTTTTTATGGATTTAATTTTTTTTATAACATGGGTCACATGCTTCAGTTTTTTTCTGATTACCTACTCCTGGTTGAAAGTAATTCTTTTTCAAGGAAACGCGCATTACTTAAAAAGTAGAAAGCATTACACTTGTGCTGTGCTCTTCTATGAGGTTTTAGACATGAAAAGGACAATCAATCAGTGCCCAAGTTCACATTTGCTACATGTGAGTGCTAATATGAAAGAAAAACTGAGCTGCATCAAGTGGCCAACATAAATTGGTCAGAAAATGAGCTTGAGGGATTAAGTGTTGTAGTGTATACAATTGGATTCAGCAAGTGTAAAAATTAGCTTTGCTTATCTAGTAAGGGGGCTGAAGGTGTATGTACCATTCCAAATTCACCAATTTAACTGCAAAACAAACCTCCTTGCATGGTTTTACATCTTCCCCTCAGCCCCTTTCTTCGACTTGGCACAAGCAGAGCATAATGAAGCAAATTTCAAGCCGCATATCGACTAGTTTTCATAGTGCATCATAGCAATTGTCAACATACACGTTTTTATTTTCTGACTGTCTTACGCTGCC